ATAGAGTCAAATGAGGAGACCAGTTTGGACCATGACTGTGTGTATATTCACAAATTTGTTTGTGTTGCACTTCATTTAGAGCTGAAGCCTGTGCTTAAACTGCTCATCAACTATTTAAGCTGTAAGCTAAATATACTTTACCAAACAGATCAAAATCTCTAAGGCCATTTTTATAGACAAGCAAATGAAGATATATATTATCATACAAAAATATGTTATAATCATATTATTGAATCAAATGATCATCAAACTCTTTTTTGTAGTCAATATGTGCCATAGAAATGTATAATCAATAAACCTGCCATGAAAAATGTTCACTGAAGTTTGTGACAACTACACCTTGTCTGTACTATGGATATGTATTCATTTAAGATATAATGGCATGCAATTTATTAACACTAAAATGCATACAAGGCCATTTTTATAGACAAGCAAATGAAGATATATATTATCATACAAAAATATGTTATAATCATATTATTGAATCAAATGATCATCAAACTCTTTTTTTGTAGTCAATATGTGCCATAGAAATGTATAATCAATAAACCTGCCATGAAAAATGTTCACTGAAGTTTGTGACAACTACACCTTGTCTGTACTATGGATATGTATTCATTTAAGATATAATGGCATGCAATTTATTAACACTAAAATGCATTATGTTTGTTATAATGTTTAAAGTCCTAGCAAAAATGTACTTAATCACTTTTCAAAATGTTCAAGGGTTTTACCAAATCCACTTTGAATTATACAAACAGTTCTGCTTCCACAAGAGGGCGCAGATGCTTCACTCCACCTGCCTAATCATTCATAACTTTCCCTAAAACTTCATGTGCACGTACTCCACAAAGACCTTTCAATGTCTCCTCCTCTCCAGGATGCTTAAATCCCTGAATCCCACCAACTCACCTGCAAACTCCCACCCCTGCTGTTTCAGAGCTCATCAATAAACCCTCAGCTCAGTCCACGCGCGAGAAGAGGTTCTCCGCGCTCCGCGTTTCATCACATTATCATACAGTGCAACTGCGCCTGCAACACACTGCTGAGCAGCAACGACTCAAACGTTTTATTTCAGCATAAGCTAATCTTATTTCTACCTACTTACCTTTTTATCGATTCTCAATGTATCCTCTTTAAATGTCTGCTCTCTAAGCCACTTACTGTTTGCGCTCTCCTTAGACACTTACTGTTGACGGATGACTGCGAGGAACTGCTAATATAACACAGTTGTGGTTAGGTCCGAAATGGATTTACAAACGCTAAATGATACATTTGGGATTTGGGCATGCCTTCAGCTTCAGAACAGCTCGGTGCTGAACGGGACCTTAAACGGGAGTCTGGAGATTCCCAACGGCACCTGCGGAGACGCGCTTCTGCTGCCCAAGACAGAACCGGCGCGACCCAAAGGTGAGAGTCTCCCGACACACATTCAGCACCAGAAAGCTGTTTCGCTCTCGTTCGTTCAAGACACTCGTTCTCCTTCACTCTGAGGTACCAAAGCTTGTCATGACCATGTTTTGACATCATGGAGAGGTTGCAGCACCCTCCAGCTTGAAGTAAAATCAGGAAGATGTTGGGGGAGCTGAAAGTAGCTATATAAAAAATTTCAGAAAACATAAAAGCAAGTTTTAGTGAAAGCGCACTAGATAGAAGCGAGCTCTTGAATAGAAGCGTTTGCCTGAGGAGGTAACCAAAATGAGAGGAGGTAGCTTACTCTGCGCCTTCCGTACGGTTCATTAAAAAAAAAAAATAGGCTATATCAGTTATCACTTTATGATATGTATGCATCGCAAGTATATCAAAAAAAGTGTTGTTTAAAAAGTCTAGATACTCGACGTTTGCGCTTTAGGAACGCCAAATACTATTCGGTTGCGCAAGACAAAAGAGATTGCTTCCAGAAAATCAGGTTACTGAAAGAAATGTCCTCAAATTTCGGAAGTCACTGAATATTTCGCATACTGGACATAAATGGCAAACCATAGTAATGCCGTGTTTTTGTCATGTATCATTGCAATACTTACCTTTGAGAGTAAGATTAATCATTCAGCATGCATTTATATATCAAATTACCAGAGTATTGCCATAATACAGTCACTGTATGGGGTGTAAGGGAAAGGACAATGCTTGTTATATCTTGGAAAATTGTAAATTAATTTCTGCCAGCATCGCTACAGCTTGATTTGTCACTGCAGGGGTAATTCAGATGGGATTATACACTCTTAAAAATAAAGGTGCTTCAAAAGGTTCTTCAAGCGATGCCGTAGAAGAACCATTTTTGGTTCCACAAAGAACCATTCAGTCAAAGGTTCTTTAAAGAACCTTTGACTGAATGGTTCTTTGTGGAACCAAAAATGGTTCTTCTACGGCATCGCTTGAAGAACCTTTTGAAGCACCTTTATTTTTGAGAGTGTAATCTTATACGGTTTATTACGTTTTTGACGCCTCTGCTCCCGGTCAGCCCAACAGAGATGCTACAACACAAGGATAACGAAGTACGTCTGTATGTGGAAACCTGATGTAGTCTAGCTATTTAATTAGACACATGTGAACAACATTTATATTTGAATGAAGGGTCTATGAAGAGTTGTTGGTGTATTAGTTTCATGTAAACATTTTTACATGGCTGCTGTAGATAGTCACATGACCAGAACTTTTAAATTACAATCTCGGTCATGCTTTATATAACATGCCATATTTGTGACACATATTTAGGTTTGACTATGTCCCATCTCATATAATTCATTCAATAGAATAAATACATGCAAACACATCAGTGGTCACATTCATGACCAGTGGGGAAACACAGAGCCCAATTCTGAACAAATGTAAATTAAAATTATAAAAGTTGTAGATTTACAATTATATTAAAAGAGACAAAGTAAAAGTAAAATAAAACATGCATTTTATAGTTTTATAAAATATTTATAGCATTGATAGTAAAATAAGTAAATACATACATACATATACATAGTTACTTCATTTTCCACAACATTCTATTGGGTCTTTGTGAGCAACTGATATTTTTTTTTTACTTTGTAGTTTCCAACTGTTTCCAAATGAGGAATATAAAACACTTTCAGTAACTCTTATAAAGGCATGCAGTTGTTTCATTAGGTTATCCAAAGAGTATAATACATGTGCTCACACTGATAAGAAAAAAAAAAGATTAAATTAGTTAATTTATTTCACAAATCTAAATGAAGCCAGCGGTGTCTATTCAAGAAACAGAGTCTGCAGTCTTTCTACTGATATTAGAATCACTGCCAAAGTAAGTGAATAATTTAGCAGACCTCACTGCATCACCCCTCTGGGCATTATGACATGAGGGGCTGTTTTATGACGTGGAGAGATTATTTATCTTGTGCAAATGAAGTGATGAAGTGCAAATTCTACAAATCCCCATTAAATGTTAACTGTAAAACATAAAACTGTAAATTAGAGTATAAAATATTCAAAAGTATTAAAGAGAGGAAAACCAATATTAGCAATAATACTTTGCTGGGAAGAAAGCAGATGTTAAATATTACTTAGACAAATTGTCCTTATATTAGATTAGTGATAGACATTACATGTCAGGCTCCAACTGCCACTTGCAACATATCAAGCCATAACCACAGGGTCACCAAGGCTTCATGCTGTTGTGCGCTTTAACAGGATTGTAAACTTCATGGTTCTGACTGGATTTTTTAAAATATAAATCTGAATATTAAATTTGATAATTTTTAGAGCTGTTTTAGATGAACCTCACTATAAATAATTTAATTAAAATAGCACATGAACAAAAAACAAAACAACAGTAATTAGATGTGACTTAAAAAATGACAAAAAAGCAAAAAATAAATAACGAAAACAAGTCATTGTTCACTGCTATAAAAATGCTTTGTTAGATAACATAAATTCTGAAAATGTGCTTTCAACATCTAAATGAACTGGTTTTATTTATTATGAAATATTCACTAAAATCAGCCTGACTTCTTCATTAGGTTACCCCAATAAACGTCATTTTAAAAAGTCAGCTGAAGTTGAAACAGCTCTTTGAGACACACTACTACACATGTTCACATTTTACAGCAAAAACAAGTGATTTCTCCTCTTTCTCTCTGGGTGCTTTGATGAAAGCATTCAGCATACCTCCGGGTGCCCGCTAAATTTAGTGCATTGCCACTGAGGAGCCTAATCAGAGACTGCTCGACAATGCACATATTTGCTGTCCATTTCCTCAATCAGCAGAGGCTGTTGGGCTCTCTGTTCTTGTGTTCAGTATAAACTCTGATCATCAAACACACGTCTGTCATTATCGCCATTACACAGTGCTCCAACAGTGCACTTCAAATCCACAGATTCTGGAGTTTTAGCATACACTGCACACTCATTCATTCTTCTTTATGATGACACCAGGCATGCTTCAGGCAATCAGTTATTTCAGTGATTTTCTGTGAATCTAAGAAAATCTATTCACTGTACTTGGCATCACAATGATTTCCATTGTGAATAGATCAATTAAGGATTTTTGTTTTGTATAGAAGCTTATTTCCACCATGGAAATAAATAAATAAATAAAAATAAAAATGATTACTGTGACTTTTTATTTCACAATTCTAACTTTTCTTTTTCAGTTGCAAATTTATATCTCACAATTTGACCTTTTTTTTCTCATAATTGCGAGTTTATATCTCACAAATGTGATTTAACATCTCACAATTATGATTTTTTATTTTTTTCTGGAGAATTGCGAGTTTATATCCCACAATTCAGACTTCTCAGAATTTGGGCTTTTTCTCTCACAATTCTGTCTTTTCTTTTTGCAATTGCAAGTTTATAGCCTCAGAATTTTTTTTTTCACAATTCTGATTTCACTTTTGAAAGAGAACTCTACGCTGCGTCTCCTAGGGGCTGCTATGGGGAACGCCTTCAGCGTGACCAATGTCTGAAGCATGAATGCAAAAACGACAATGACATTGGCAAGCGGCAGCCTATGAGGTCACTACTGGTGTGACTGCAAGAATAAAAAGGCACCTGTGGAACACATCATCCTCTTCTTTGTCTTTAGCCATTCTGACGTGTGTAAGGTAAGAAAGCGATGTCTGTTAAATGTTTTAGGAAGTGTTCGGATCCGTGTCAACGCTATCTGACATCTGACGATGCACATGACCTTTGTTGTTATGTGTTTGGGCGAGGAGCACACATGCTCTGTTCTCGAGGGAACAGAGTGCATTCATTGAGTGTTTCTCATTGAGGAAACTCCACTCTCATTTGTCTTTTTTCTCGGGGGAATTGGGTCAAACATCAGCTCCCTGCAGTTCGGGTCCTGCTGCTGCCGAGGCAGCAAGGAGACTAAAATCATGGGGTTCTCAGATGGAGCTTGCTGATGAGTTTGAGAGAGGTGTGAATCTCTCGTATTCATCAGCGGCTGACGAGAGTAACCTACTAGATGAGGATGTGGTGTCTCTCACATTCTCTGATCCTGCAGGAAGTGTTCTGCTGCCTTCTAGCCAGGGTGAGCAGGATGTGGCTGGTGAGGGCGAAGAAGGGAATTCTGAAGCTTCTCAGCCTGCCTACCCTGACTATGATGAACTGCAGGAGGTTATGGATCGTGCTACTGTGAGATATCTCTCGGCTGGGGTGAAATCAACACTGAAGGCTCTAGCCCTGTCATCCAAACCACTTCAGAGTACATCACTTTTGAATGTTAGGGCATATGTGGCAGCAGGTCAGGCTGGTGCTGCCTTGCACACAATGGCAGTGTTGCAAGCGTACCAGGCAGATCTGCTGAAAGACTTGGACTAGGGTCAGGATATCTCCCATGAGGCAGTGGATGAGTTGCGCCACACCACAGATCTGGCTCTCAGGGCCACCAAGCAAACAGCAATCAGCAGATAAATGGCGGCAATGGTGGCCACTGAGAGACATCTGTGGGTGAACATGGCGGACATCGGGGAGAAAGAAAAGCGCTTCCTTCTCGATGCCCCGGTTTCGCCTTCGGAACTATTCGGCACACCCATTAAGATGGTGGTCAATAAATTCAAGGAGGCGAAGCCATGCTCAGCGACTTACAAGTCGTTCATTCCATGCTGGTCCTTGTCAATGCTCAAACACGAGGGGGGACCTGGCCCGTCTTGGTCTGAGGGTCAAAGACAGGGGCAGGTAAAAAGCATCGCCACTCGTTGCCCTCTTTGGAGAAGGAGTAGGCCACAGAGGAGGCTCGAGTCAAGTAGAAAGAAAAAGGATTTAAGGGAAGTGATCCAGCACAGATACAGTCAGCAGTCTGGGGTTTGGATTGGTAATTAACATCTACGCCTTCCTTCCCTTTTTTTCTTTTTTTTCACTAGAGGAGAAAAACAGCTCTCCTTCTTCACTCAACGCCAGAGATAATTAGTTGAGGTGTAGTAGCCAGGTCTCCTCTCACTTAGAGGGTCGTTATGCTGAGTAGAGCCACTCTCCACTTGTAGAGCTCCGTTATTTTTGGTGAGTGGTGTCAGGCTACCTCTCGTTTAGAGATTCATCCTGCTGAGGCCTACACTTTCCAGAAGCTCCGTCACTAACTGTCTCTGTCTTTGCGTGTAGCCAGGTCTCCTCTCGCTTTAGAGAGTCGTTATGCTGAGACCTCCACTCTTAGAGCTCCGTAACTTTGGTGAGTGTTGTTAGGCTTCCTCTTGTTTTAGAGAGTCATCCTGCTGAAGCTTCCACTCTCCAGAGCTTCACTTAGAGCATTTTAATATGTGGGCTCTCTTGCGAGCCTCACTAATTATCTCTGGCATTGAATGTAGCAGGTCTCCTCTCATTTTAGAGAGTCGTTATGCTGAGACCTTCACTCCTTGGAGCCACATGGTAGTGCGGTAGATTAATGTGCTGGAGGTTCTCTGGGAACCTCTTTGGCTATAATTTAGAGTGTTGGTAGAATTCCTCTAACCATGAGAGTTCTGAAGCTTCCAATCTGCAGGGCACCGGAATAGTTAGACTTCACTCACTTGGTTGATGCCTCGATTCAGGAGCTCTAGTCTATGACTGCTTGTGGATTTAGGGATGTTCATTACTTTGAGTTGACTCAGGTCAAATTCTTTAGCACTCATCCCTTCAGCATGGCAGTATGGGTATTCCGTTCCCCATAGCGGCCCCAAGGGGACGCAGCATAGAGTTCCCTTTGGAAAGGGAACGTCTCAGGTTACGCATGTAACCATGGTTCCCTGAGAATAGGGAACGAGATGCTGTGTATCTTTGCCATGCGTCAGGTAATCCTGCTTACGTCTCTTTCAGACAAAGAAGTGGATGACGTGTTCCATAGGTGCCTTTTTATACTTGCAGTCCCACCAGTAGTGACGTCACAGGCTGCTGCCTGCCAATGTCAAGTTAATTGTAAACACTGGTCATGCTGAAGGCGTTCCCCATAACAGCCCCTAGGGCAGGGATCCTCAAATCTGGCCCACGAAATCCACTTTCCTGCAGAGTTTAGCTCTAACCCTAATCAAACACACCTGAGCATGCTAATCAATGTCTTCAGGATCATTAGAAAGTCACAGGTAGGTGAGTTTGATCAGGGTTGGCGCTAAACTCTGCAGCGCATTGGCCCTCCAGGGCAAGATTTGAGGAACCCTGCCCTAGGGTATGCATTGTCTTGTTTCCAATTCTCAGGGAACTAGTGGTGGAAATTTTGATTCTTTCAAGAGATTCGTTAATTTTCATTTCGTTCACCAAAATGATTTGTTCAGATTCGTTCACTGATTCGTTCAGTGACCATTTCTTCATACTACATAAATACGCCTGCAGGTGGTGAAAAAGAGTCTTACGTGTTATGTCTTAAGTCAACGAATGTATTTACTTGTTACAAAAAACTGATTTGGCTTTATTAAAAAGTGCGCTTGATCTACTAATTAAATAAATAAAATAAGTCTAAATACGTGGTTAATATGACCAAAACACAAGGTTTCCTTGCATGATTAACATTTTAATTGTTTGGTCAGACATTTACTCATTCATAAATCCGGGAATAAACGTGGAGTTAGGTTCTGTATGCTAAATATGAATATATAAACAAGCGTATGTGCACAGTACCTATTACTGCGCTTTGCTTCCGCTTTCTGCTGATTGCTGAACGAGACTGACATTTCGTTCACGAATGAGACATGTACCAGTTTGGTCATTTCATTCACGAACAAGATGTACCAGTTCGGTCATTTTGTTCACGAATGAGAAGATCTCTCTCCTTCAGACTCAAAAGAAACTTGTTCAGTGAAGGGCACATTCATTCACTACATTCAACAAATCACATGCTCCGTCACATCTCATACTCGAAAGCTATTGGCTTGGTTTAGTCATTCTTTGATAGGATGTGTAGGATCTGTCTCACAACAGACCCACCTACATGATGGAGAACAGACCACAGAGCTAACCGGTTCACTGAGCTGCACATGCGCTGCTAATAGCGCCGTGCTGCTCTGGAGGGAGAGATTTCAGTGAACGAGAAATATGAGTTGGTGGATTATGTGAACGAGAACAATTCATTCACCTAAAAGATCCATTCAAAAATAACAATTCGTTCACGAACGTAACATCACTACAGGGAACCATGGTTATGTAACAAAGAGTCAACTGAGTTGGGATCCATGTGCAGCTTTTAAAGTAAATACTCAATGTCTAACAGGCAAGGTTCAATCAACAGATATCCAAGGCAAGCCAATGACGTGGTCAGAGTACAGGCAAATGGTGAGGGCAGGCAGCAAACAGGGCAGAGAGTGGATAATACAAACAGAGAATCAGGCAGCAGAGAATCAAACAAGGCAATATAGTCCAGGGTCATACACAAGGGAGCAATACACGATGAAGAACGCTCAGAAATGTTAGGCACAGCAAAACTGGAAACTGCTTAAATAGTCCAGGGAATAAAAGTCAGGTGTGTAGGTAATCAGTCCCAAGCACTGGGGTTATGTGAAATGAAGTCCCAACTGAAGTCAGTATTCAGGTGAAGGTGCCCTCTGGTGGTGATCAAAGAGAGCCACAGAGGCTTGATCTGTGACAGGTTACATGTGTAACCTGACGTTTTCTTAGCAATTTTTCTCACAATTCTAACTTTTCGCATTTGCAAGTTTATATGTCAAACTTCTGACTTTTCTTCTCACAATTATTCAAAAGTTTATATCTCACTACTGCAAGTTAAAGGGGTCATATTATGCTTTTTCACTTTTTTAATTTTAGTCAGTGTGTAGTGTGTATGTTTGGGCATTAAAATATCTAGAAAGTTACAAATATCAAAGACCACTCCAAAGGGAGATATTTCATTTTTTAAAAATCCCTTTTCAAGAACTACAACAAACGGCTCGTTTGGACTACAGCGTTTGTTTTCCGGGCTTTGTGATATCACAAAGCGGCCCATTGGAATATCATTACAAATATTTCCCGCCTACAGAAATTTGAATGGTTGGGGGGTGGGGAGGAGCGAGGTTGTGGTTAGAACGCTTGGTTGAGTGAATGCATCAGACGAGACGACGAAGAAGAAGTGCTGCTGCAGAGTTAGTGCATCAGAGAAAACCAAGAAGAAGAGCTGCTGTGCTGTAGTGTCAAATTTTTGGCATGTCTAGAACAGCGGTTCTCAATTCCAGTCCTCGCGTACCCCCGCTCTGCACATTTTGTATTTTTCTCTTATTGCTTCATACATTTGTTATATTTGACTGTAAGTGCCCTGCGAAGTGGACATTACCAGATATTCCTCCATGATTCCAGTTTGAAGGGAGCATATATGTTCCATACAAAGGGCATTTAAGTGTGCGAGACGTGAATTTAAATTGTATTTATTTACAGAGGTATATTATGTCCCACTTCACGCTTCTCTAGTAAGTTTCGTATGTGTGTGAAGATGCTGCAGGCAGCGCAAATCTGTAAATGAATATTCCGAAGTGATGTAAACTTCAATGGATTTCCCCTGCTCAGGGAGTAGGGAGCAATGGACATTGTGTAGGGACCATGTCAATCGGACCACAGTTCATGCACGGAACTCACTTCATGATCTGAATCATGTGTGTTAACAAAGAGAGACGTGCAAAACATGCAGAGCGGAGGTACGCGAGGACTGGAATTG